CAAGAGAGGGCCACCCACCAAAACTCATGGACCAGACAAGGAGGGCATTAATCAGAGAGGCAACAAAGAGACCAAAGAGAACCCTGAAGGAGCTGCAAAGCTGCACAACGGAGATTGGAGTATCTGTCCAAAGGACCACTTTAAGCCGTACACTCCGCAGAGCTGGGCTTTACGGAAGAGTGGCCCAAAAAAAGCCATTGCTCAAAGAAAAAATAAGCAAACACGTTTGGTGTTCGCCAAAAGGCTTGTGGGAGACTCCCCAAACATATGGAAGAAGGTACTCTGGTCAGATGAGACTAAAATTTAGCTTTTTGGCCATCAAGGAAAACGCTATGTCTGGTGCAAACCCAACACCTCTCATCACCCCGAGAACACCATCCCCACAGTGAAGCATGGTGGTGGCAGCATCATGCTGTGGGGATTTTTTTCATCGGCAGGGACTGGGAAACTGGTTAGAATTGAAGGAATGATGGATGGCGCTAAATACAGGGAAATTCTTGAGGGAAACCTGTTTCAGTCTTCCAGAGATTTGAGACTGGGACGGAGGTTCACCTTTCAGCAGGACAATGACCCTAAGCATACTGCTAAAGCAACACTCAAGTGGTTTAAGGGGAAACATTGAAATGTCTTGGAACGGCCTCCAATTGAGAATCTGTGGTATGACTTAAAGATTGCTGTACACCCCTGGAACCCATCCAACTTGAAGGAGCTGGAGCAGTTTTGGCAAAAATCCCAGTGGCTAGATGTGCCAAGCTTATAGAGAAATACCCCAAGAGACTTGCAGCTGTAATTGCGGCAAAAGGTGGCTCTACAAAGTATTGACTTTGGGGGGGTGAATAGTTATGCACACTCAAGTTTTCTGTTTTTTTGTCTTATTTCTTCTTTGTTTCACAATAAAAAATATTTTGCATCTTCAAAGTGGTAGGCATGTTGTGTAAATCAGATGATACAAACCTCCAAAAAATCCATTTTAATTCCAGGTTGTAAGGCAACAAAATAGGTAAAATGCCAAGGGGGGTGAATACTTTCGCAAGCCACTGTACAGGAGCAACTAGGTTAAGTGTTTAAATTAACTTATTGTTATTTGATTACATGGGTGGTCAGATTTCCTGAGTGCTTATAACATCTCTGGGAGAAATATTATTAGAGTATTCTAAACCTCAGTGATCCTTGTTTGATTGAGAACAGAAGGGAAAACTCTTGCCGTTTATTGTGAAACTGCAGGAATCTTCCCCAAATTAGAGAAGGCAGGTTTGTGTCAGAACAGACATATTTGAGTCAAGTTTAAAACTTTTAGCTGTAAGTCTTGGGAACATGGAGACCACACCTTTAGTGGAATGTATTGAAAAGTATACAAGCACATACAAGACCAATACACGTTAGTCAGCAGGGATTGAATCATGTGTCATGTACAATGCCAAGAAGTCTATGTGAGTGATAGGCACATCCTGCTGCCATCAATAAACTATATGAAGAGAAAGAGAAAGAAAGTGCTTAACGTTCGGGAGGAACGCATTGAACCAGGTGCAGGTCAAATTGAAGCACTTGGGAGCAGAATATGCCATGTGCAGGGGGTGGAGCTCATCACACATCAGCTACTACAGTGGAGAGATTACTGTTGTGCATCTAACAAACCTGAGTCAGATACATACTGTATGTTAAAGGCCTAGTGCAGTCAAAAACGTGATTTTCCTGTGTTTTATATACAGTGCCTTCAGAAAGTATTCACACCCCTGGACCTTTTCCAAATGTTGTTGTGTTACAGCCTACATTTTAAATTGATTAAATTTAGATTTTTTTTGTCACTGGCCTACACACAATACCCCATAATGTCAAAGTGGAATAATGGTTTTCCATTTAAAACAATTTTTATAAAAACATTTAAAGATGTCTTTAGTCAATAAGTTTTCTACCCCTTTGTAATGGCAAGCCTAAATAAGATCAGGTGTAAACATTTGCTTAACAAGTCACATAAGGAATTGCATGGACTCACTCTGTGTGCAGTACTAGTGTTTAACATGATTTTGAAATGACTACCTCATCTCTGTACCCCACACATACAATTATCTATAAGGTCCCTCAGTAGAGCAGTGCATTTCAACCACAGATTCAACCACAGAGACCAGGGAGGTTTTCCAATGCTTCGCAAAGAAGGGCAGCTATTGGTAGATGGGTTTTAAAAAAAGCAGACATTGAATATCCTTTTGAGCATGGTGAAGTTATTAATTACATTTTGGATGGTGTATCAATATACCCAGTCACTACAACCATTCAGGCGTCCTTCCTAACTCAGTTGCCGGAGAGGAATGAAACCGCTCAGGTATTTCACCATGAGGCCAATGGTGACTTTAAAACTGTTACAGTTTAATGGCTGTGATAGGATAAAAAATGTTTAGTTATTCTAACCTAATTGACAGAGGGAAAAGAAGGAAGCCTGTACAGAATAAAAAATATTCCAAAACATGCATCCTGTTTGCAACAAGGCACCAAAGTAATACTGCAAAAAAAATGTGGCTAAGCAATTAACTTATTATTCTGAATACGAAGTGTATTGTTTGGGGCAAATCCAATTCAACACATTACTGATTAACACTCTCCATATTTGCAAGCATAGTGGTGGCTGCATCATGCTATGGGTATGCTTATAATCGTTAAGGACTGGGGAGTTTTTCAGGATAAAAAAGAAACGGAATGGAGCTAAGCACAGGCAAAATCCTAGAGGAATACCTGGTTCAGTCTGCTTTCCACCAGACACCGGGAGATTAATTCACCTTTCAGCAGGACAATAAACTAAAACACAAGGCCAAATCTACGCTGGAGTTGCTTACCAAGAAGACAGTGAATGTTCCTGAGTGGCCGAGTTACAGTTTTTACTTAAATCTACTTGAAAATCTATGGCAAGACCTGAAAATGGTTGTCCAACAATGATCAACAACCAGTTTGACAGAGCTTGAAGAATTTTTAAAATAATAAAGGGCAAATATTGTACAATCCAGGTGTGGAAAGCGCTTAGAGATTTACCTAGAAAGACACACAGCTGTAATCGATGCCAAACGTGCTTGTACAAAGTATTGACCCAGGGGTGTGAATACTTATGTAAATTAGATATTTCTGTATTTCATTTTCAATAAATTAGCAAAAATGTCTAAAAACATGTTTTCACTTTGACATTATGTGGTATTGTGTGTAGATTGGTGAGATTATTATTTTTTTTAATACATTTTCAATACAGGCTGTAACACAGCAAAATGTGAATAAGTCAAGGGGTATAAAAACTTTCTGAAGGCATTGTATATTTCCACACTATAAGGTTGTAATAATACTGTGAAATTGTAAAACATTTTGTGTAAGAGCTGTTTAAAAACATCACCTGAAATTTCAGCCTGCTTTGGAGGGATGGCGTTTTGGCCTGCCTGGGTCAATATGAGGCAGAGATGTCGAGAACTTACTTGTTGTGAGTAACAATATATTAATTATCTGGAGGTACAGTTTTCATGGGAGGTTTTATTAACATTCTGAGAACAACAATTATAGGTTATTTGAAAGTAATTAAATAATCAATCAATCAATCAATCAAATTGTATTTATAAAGCCCTTTTTACATCTGCAGATGTCACAAAGTGCTATACAGAAACCCAGCCTAAAACCCAAAACAGCAAGCAATGCAGATGTAGAAGCACGGTGGCTAGGAAAAACTCCCTAGAAAGGCAGAAACCTATGAAGAAACCTAGAGAGGAACCAGGCTCTGAGGGGTGGCCAGTCCCCTTCTGGCTGTGCCGGGTGGAGATTATAATGTTCTGTGAACATGCTTCAATAATACTTTTAATAACACTGCTAGCTTAGGTTAATGGTTTTGAACTCCAAGCAAAAATAGGACACATGAAAATGAATTTGGTCAGACATTGATCACGCAAACAGATTTGTTTTATTTGTGGCATGGCGTCAGTGAGATTCAGGTGTGGTCAATTAGTGGGCGTGGCCATCACACCTGAACACACTTCAAAAGATAGAGGATAAAGAGAATGTTGTTGACGTTGAGAACGGAATGTATAATGTATGTTTTTCAATAACATTGTTAAAATGTTCTTTGAACGTTACTAATGTTTTCTTGTGGTTTTTATAGAAAGGTTTCTTAATGTTCTGTAAACATTACTTTAAATAGAGCCATGAGGAAAACCTGCAGAAAACGTTATACTGCTGAAATTCCAACAGAAGAACTTTGTTTCTTAACTTTCTCTGAACGTTCTGAGACATGACTTTAAATAGAACCATGAGGAGCATGCATCCTATTTGCAGGAAGGCCAAAATGCAAAGCGTTACATTTGGGTCAAAGCCAACACAACATTTAATTGAGTAACCCTCCAAATGTCCAAGCATGGTGATGGCTGCATCCTCTTATGGCTGTCATTGGCAGGGAGCAGAGGAGTTTTGTCAGGATCAAAGGGCAGGTATGGAGTGAAGCAAAGGCAAGGTCTTAGGCCTGCTTCAGTCTGCATGAGACCTGACACTGGGAGAGAAAACAGTTAAGACGGTGGAAACTCCTGAGTGTGACTAGGATTTAACTCCTTTTTATTTTTGCATTTGCTGTTATAAAATCAGTGTTTTCCTATCGCCAATGACAAAGGACAGATTTAATTACAGGAAATACAACAGCATACATAAAAATGAATAAAAATCGTATTCACAATGGGGCTGTCACATTTTTGACTGCAATGATCCGCAAAGTGTGCAAAGTTGGTAGAGGCCTATCCTAAAATAAAATAATATTTATTTGACATTTATTTTTTATTTTGAAATTGTGAAGGTTTTGCAGAACATGGAGCAGTGAAACAAGTTAATGAATTTTAATTCCAGGATGTAAGACCACAGAAAACAAAATTTTACAAATGGTATGTGTTGCAACAGAACACTGTATTCAAAGCTCAGTTATTGAACTCAGTGGATTTCAATAGCTCTGTGAGTGTGTGAATGCTTCTAGACAAAACATACCACACCTCTAAATGATCACATATAAATGCTGTAACTCGACACACTCTATATCATTTCACCTCCTTCAGCTCCAAGTCAAAATGTACCTTTTTGTACCCATCCTCGTGAGTGTGCTTCTTCCCAAAGGTAAGAGGACTATCTAGGCCATAGCCTACGTTTAACATGCTTTTCGATTATAATTTATTTTAAATGTCAAAATAGTACACAAAGAAAATCTCTAAATATGGCTATAGCCCATATCATTTTTGCATTACTTAGGCTACCTTTGGCTGCATTTGGATTAATTCTGCTTTGAAGATCAAGTTCAGCAATTATTATACTTTTTTTTTGCAATTTCAATTTAGCCTATAGCCCACAGTTTAGAACTATAATGAAGAATAAATAAATATATAACTCAATTTACCTTTTGAATGACAAATGCATTTCAGCCAAAGAAAACATTGTCCACGTTTTAGTCTATTATATCCCTGATAATTTATGAATGGTATTTCTAATAATGGGATGGTGTAACTTTTCACCTTCTCAGCATATTCACTCAAGTGCTTTGAGTGCATACCGGGAGTCTCGGGAACATGCACGGATAAGCAGATTGACTGTCCTAATCCAACCCAATGTGGAAACACGCGGATTACATCCTATGCGGGTAAATTAATGGAAGGTTAATTTAGCTCATAAATGTTAGCCAAACGATAAAACAAATATTTTTGGTTCATTTTATTACGTTTTAAAACTTTTTTTTCTTTTTCTTGACTCAACCTCTTCTTTCCATTTCCAGGTGATACAAAAGTATTAGATGTCAACGCGAAGTCTTGCGCCGGTGCCAACTGAGTGTTTCAGTGCAGCAGTGAACTTCGGAATCGCGCGCACTACGATCACCAGCAAATGCTGCAATACGGACCTCTGCAACTCCCAAAGCGTCCCTGGTAACTATCTCAATGAGAATGTATAGGCTATGTTAGTTTATAATAAATGCTACTATTAAAACATTCGATTTGATAGCATGTTGAAAGGTTGAACTGAAATTAATATTTTTAATTGATAGTTCTATGAGGAAAGTTTTAGTTGATGAATTAGACTAACTCAATTCTTAAATTGAAATACAACCAACACATTTATTTAGCATAATTATTTAACGGCTGCCAAGTGTTTTCAACATAGAGGAAGAGGAATACTCGAAATAGGCAATTATAAGGAATAGAATGAATCTATTTTGATTTTGGTTTGTGGTGAGGTGGGAGTGAAAAGTGCAATCACTTATCCTGTAGAGTCCACTAAACCCACTCCTAATGGCAAGAAGTGCTTCACCTGCACCGGAACGGACTGCACGAGCGCTCTGAGCTGCTTGGGAGACGAGGACCGCTGCATCTCAACAACAGGTAGTGTGTCAGATTAATCGCGCACCGTTACCTGCACATTCTTTACATTCCTAAAGCCTATTTCTTTAGTCTCTAAGACTGGTATCATAGACTAGACATAACATAGTAAACGTAAATCCGGGACACTCAAATTAGTATGATATGTTATGTTTGGTTTAGTTACATCAGATAGAAGGTTAATTAAGGCAAAAACGTAAGGAGGGTGGTTGGTCAGGGTGGATGGGTGGGCATATAATGCTAATGTCTAGCAACCCAAAGGTTGCATGTTTGTAACTCATACAACTTTAGCATTTTAGATCCCTTCCCCTAACTTTTTAGATAACCCTTGCCCTAACTCCTAACCTTAACCCTAACTGTTAACACTAACCCTTACTGCTAGCTAACGTTAGTGTTAACCATCTAGCCACATAGCTAATGTTAGCAACAAATATTTTGGAATTGAAATCAAATCAAATTGTATTGGTCACATACACATGTTTAGCAGATGTTATTGTGGGTGAAGTGAAATGCTTGTGCTTCTAGATCCGACAGTGCAGTAATATCTAACAAGTAATATCTAACAATTTCACAACATATACCCAATACACACAAATCTAAGTAAGGAATTAATTAAGAATATATACATATATGGACGAGCGATGTCAGAGCGGCATGGACTAAGATACAGTAGAATAGTTTAGAATACAGTATATACATATGAGATCAGTTATGCAAGATTTGTAAACATTATTAAAGTGACTAAGATACAGTAGAATAGTATAGAATACAGTTTATACATATGAGATGAGTAATGCAAGATTTGTAAACATTATTAAAGTGGCTAGCATTCCATTTCTTAAAGTGGCCAGTGATTTCTAGTCAATGTCCATAGGCAGCAGCTAGTGTGCTAGTGATGGCTGTTTAAGAGTCTGATGGCCTTAAGATAGAAGCTGTTTTTCAGTCTCTCGGTCCCAGCTTTGATGCACCTGTACTGACCTCGCCTTCTGGATGATAGCGGGGTGAACAGGCAGTTGCTTAGGTGGTTGATGTCCTTGATTATCTTTTTGGCATTCCTGTGATATCGGGTGCTGTAGGTGTCCTGGAGGGCGGGTAGTTTGCCCCCGGTATTGTGTTGTGCAGACCGCACCACCCTCTGGAGAGCCTTGCGGTTAGGGGTGGTGCAGTTGCCGTACCAGGCGGTGATACAGCCCGACAGGATGCTCTCAATTGTGCATCTGTAAAAGTTTGTGAGGGTTTTAGGTACCAAGCCAAATTTCTTTAGCCTCCTGAGGTTGAAGAGGCTCTGTTACGCCATCTTCACCACACTGTCTGTGTGGGTGGTCCATTTCAGTTTGTCAGTGATGTGTATGCCAAGGAACTTGAAGCTTTCCACTTTTTACACTGCGGTCCCGTCGATGTGGATAGGGGGGTGCACCCTCTACTGTTTCCTGAAGTCCACGATCATCTCCTTTGTTTTGTTGACATTGAGTGAGAGGTTGTTTTCCTGGCACCACACTCCCAGTAGGCTGTCTCGTCATTGTTGGTAATCAAGCCTACTACTGTTGTGTCGTCTGCAAACTTGATGATTGAGTTGGAGGCGTGCTTGGCCACACAGTCATGGGTGAACAGGGAGTACAGGAGTGGGCTGAGCATGCACCCTTGTGGGGCCCCAGTGTTGAGGATCAGCGAAGTGGAGATGTTGTTTCCTACCTTCACCACCTGGGGGAGACCCGTCAGGAAGTCCAGGACCCAGTTGCACAGGGCGGGTTTCAGACCCAGGACCTCAAGCTTAATGATGAGCTTGGAGGGTACTATGGTGTTGAATGCTGAGCTATAGTCAGTGAACAGCATTCTTACATAGGTATTCCTCTTGTCCAGATTGGATAGGGCAGTGTGCAGAGTGATGGAGATTGCATCGTCTGTGGATCTGTTGGGGCGGTAAGCAAATTGAAGTGGGTCTAGGGTGACAGGTAAGGTAGAGGTGATACGATCCTTGACTAGTCTCTCAAAGCACTCCATGATGACAGAGGTGAGTGCAACGGGGCGATAGTCGTTTAGTTCAGTTACCTTTGCTTTCTTGGGTACAGGAACAATGGTGGCCATCTTGAAGCATGTGTGGACAGCAGACTGGGATAGGGAGAGATTGAATATGTCCGTAAACACACCAGCCAGCTGGTCCATGCATGCTCTGAGGACATGGCTAAGGATGCCATCTGGGCCGGCAGCTTTGCGAGGGTTAACACGTTTCAATGTTTTACTCATGTTGGCCACAGAGAAGGAGAGCCCACAGTCCTTGGTAGCGGGCCACATCGGTGGAACTGTGTTATTCTCAAAGCGGGCGAAGAAGGTGTTTAGCTTGTCCGGAAGCAAGACGTCGGTCTCAGCGACGTGGCTGGTTTTCCTTTAGTAGTCTGTGTTTGTCTGTAGACCTTGCCACATACAATGGGGAGAACAAGTATTTGATACACTGCCGATTTTGCAGGTTTTCCTACTTACAAAGCATGTAGAGGTCTGTAATTTTTATCATAGGTACACTTCAACTGTAAATTAAAAATCATACAATGTGATTTTCTGGATTTTTGTTTTAGATTCCGTCTCTCACAGTTGAAGTGTACCTATGATAAAAATGACAGACCTCTACATGCTTTGTAAGTAGGAAAACCTGCAAAATCGGCAGTGTATCAAATAGTTGTTCTCCCCACTGTACGTCTCGTGTCTGAGCCGTTGAATTGCAACTCCACTTTGTCTCTATACTGACGTTTTGCTTGTTTGATTGCCTTGCGGAGTGAATAACTACACTGTTTATATTCTGCCATATTCCTAGTCACCTTGCCATGATTAATTCGTAACTTGTCGTACGTTTTGCAATTTGTAACATATCATATGAATTGTAATTCGTAACTTATCATACGAAATGGATTATGGACATCCACAAATTAATACATACAATACGAAATGTAACATATCATACTAAATGGAGTTCCCAGAATTTACGTACAGAATAATACGAAATGCTCTGAGACCACGTTGCAGAGTCTGCACATCTCATATGTATGATAATATGCTTACTCTGAGGAATTATTGATATTCTGTGTGTTTATATAGTCCTGGCCTCTGATAGCATGCAGTTACCCCGAGCAAGTAATAACTGAATGTAGAGTATTTTAATTGAATGTGTCCTGCACTGCAATGAAAAGTTTCCCAATCTCCAAATAAACCTCCAACCTGTGGCATAACTGCAGCAACATAATTACTCCATGGCCCAACGTTTTAATTACGCCATGTGGTGATGTATCTTGGCTGTCAGTCAAACTCCTTAAAAGTGAAACTAACATGTAAGTTTAGGCATTCATTCCCAATGGTTAAGGTTAGGGCTAAGGTTAGGGAGGGTTAAACTTAAGTTTAGGCATTAATTCAGAGTGGTTAAGTTAAGGGTTAAGGTTTGGGAAAGGCTTAAAACAAAAAAACAAAAATCAAGTGCCTAGCACTGGGATTGAACACGCGACCGTCTGAGCCAGAGACTGCGGCTTAAACGCCCTATCCCCCATCACAACAACCTAGCAACCCTACTAGATGGTAATAGGTGCTCACATTGCCCCTAGTGGACAGTATAGCTTCACATTTCGCCAGGTCCAAATGTAATCTGGTACCTACAGAATCAGCACCTCCTGGAGTATTCCATAAGAGAATGGGCTGAAAGTTTTATCCAATGTGCACTTATCAGGAGTTGACTGGACTTGCGAAGCATTGAGTCTTGTGAATATCAGTAACATTGTCTTTTGTGTGTTGCTAGTGAACGTGGGTGGCGAGAAGATGACAATGAAGGGATGTGCCTCCAAGATAATCTGTATGGGAGAAGTGTCAGGAGCTCTGGGGCCCGCCATGGGCGTGGACATGAAGTGCTGCGAGGGCAACCTGTGTAACAGTGCCCAGGGCATCGGACTGAGCCTCCTGCTCCTGGTGACATCCATGGTCTCTGTCGCCCTGTTCCACTGAGAGGCACCATGCTTTCACCTCCTCTCCTCTCCTCTCCTGGCCATGGCCGCGTACTGTTTACTAGTTTCATCGTAACTGGAGCCTCCCTGTCATTGTACACCCCCAGCCCATCTCCCCACTCCCCAGCTCCAGTCTCCACTATTCACCTGTTGTGTGTGTTAATAATGGATGTTATTGAATAGCCCCTTTCACTAGACGCTTCACATTGTGTAGGGTTAACTCAACCTCTCCACCTCCACTAGCCACCTGTGGAATGCACTATAGTCATTTCATTTTAGGGACAGCTCTCGCAAAAAAATACACCCACAACAACCCACACCCACACCTACATCCATCCCATAACCCCTACACACACCCACACCTGTCCTCTTCTCTCCTCAAGGTCCTATGAGTCAGTGAGGCATGGATGTTTGGCGAGGCATTTGCCAATCTAAACAAGTGTTGTACATTGCTTCAAATCATTGGCATTGCTAGCTTTCACATGTTGCTAACATTCTGAATAATGTAAAAAAGGCTATTGAATCCCATTTTTAACCTGGCAGAAATATATTTTAAATGAAATATGTCACTGGATGTGTACGGTGTTATTGTATTTGCTATGCCTAATTGATGAACAAGATGAATTCTGCAAATTAAAAAGATTAAAAGTATATGAATTACTGTATAGATTTTCTGACTCTTTATTCTCACAACCTCCTGCTTCCAAGTCCAATGAGGCAATTAATAAAAATTTAATAAAATACATTCCACAATATTATTTACAAGATTTAGTTGAGGTTTAGGATTTAGTGAATGGTTTGTCCCAAATACAAGGCTTTCAGTTTTTGAAATACTTATAACTATCTTATTACTTGCCACCCATTCTAAAACTGACTGCAGCTCTTTGTTAAGTGTTGCAGTGATTTCACTTGCAGGGGTAGCTGATTTGCATAATATTGAGTCATCAGCATACATAGACACACATGCTTTACTCAGTGTAGGTCATTAGTAAATATTGAGAAAAGTAAGTGGCATAGAAATCTGCCCTGGGGAATGCCCTCCTTTACCTGGATTATGTTAGAGAGTTTTCCATTAACATGCTATTTACAGAAAGTTGTGGCTTGAGCAACTTATTTACAAGTAATAACTTTGAGAACTCTGCACCATTGGCATTTCACACTTTAGTTGATCACATTACAGTAATACATTTACATTTCAATAAAATGTGTAATGCGTAATGTGTAATTAATAGTACAACATTGTTCAGTTTCAAAATGAACATCAAAACATTTGAATAAGCTAAATATGAGGAAAAATATCATATTATATATCAAAACTTCAGCTGCAGAAAAGGATGATGGGAAATATGCAATTTTTTGTGCACATGTGTTTTTGAAAGTATACTGTAAATATATTTTGTGGACATTTAAGTTAAATATACTTTTTTTAAAGAAATGAAAGATATGAAAAAGGATACTCTCAGGAAGCATGTTCCTCAACTGTGCAATAAACAATCGTTATCATTGTCAACTTTCTCTGCACTCTTCTGAACAGCAATTCAGAAAATACTTCAAAACTCATTATTGGCAATGAAACTAAAGTGCCTTGCAAAAGTATTCACACCCCTTGGATTTATTCACATTTTGTTGTTACAAAGTGGAATTAAAATGGATTTAATTGTCATTTTTTGTCAACAATCTACATCAAATACTCTATCAAAGTGGAAGATTTCTATAATTGTTTTGGAAAAGATTGATAGAAATGAAATAACTAAAATACAGTCGTTGCATAAATATTCAGCTCCCTGAGTCAATTCATGCTAGAAACATTGTTGGCAGCGATTACAGTGGGGAGTCTTCTTGGGTAAGTCTCTAAGAGCTTTACACACCTGGATTGTGCAATATTAGCCCTTTAATATTTTCATAATTCTTCAAGTTCTGTCAACATGTTGGTGCTCATGGCTAAACAGCCATTTTCAAATCTTGCCATAGGTTTTCAAGCAGATTTAAGTCAAAACTGTTACTTGGCCACTCAGGAACATTCACTGTCTTCTTGGTAAACAACTCCAGTGTAGATTTGGCCTTGTGTTGTAGGTTATTGTCCTGCTGAAAGGTGAATTCTTCTCCCAGCAGGTTTTCCTCTAGGATTTTGCCTGTGCTTAGCTCCATCCCATTTATTTTTATCCTGAAATACTCCCCAGTATTTGTCGATGTCAAGCATACCCATACCATGATGCAGGCACCACCATGCTTAAAAATAAGGCGGCAGTTACTCAGTGATATGTGGTGTTGGATTTGCCCCAAATATAAGGCTTTGCATTTAGGCTAAAACTTTTTTTAGCAGTATTACTTTTGTGCCTTGTTGCATACAAGATGTATGTTTTGGAATATTTTTTCTTCTGTATATTTGTATTGCTATTTTCACTCTGCCATTTAAATCATTATTGTGGAGTCACTACAATGTTGCTGATCCATCCTCAGTTTTCTCCCATCACAGCCATTGAACTCTGTAGCTGTTTTACAATCACCAATGGCCTCATGGTAACATCCCTGAGCAGTTTCATTCCTGTCCTGCAGTTCAATTCAGAAGGACAACTGTATCTTTGATGTGTCTGGGTAGTTTAATACATAATCCACAGCAGAATTATTCACTTGACCATGCTTAAAGATATATTCAATGTCTGATTTGATATTGTTACCGATCTACTAATCACTGCCCTTTTATGAGTCTTTCAAAAGGCTGTCCTGGTCTTTGAAGTTGAATCTATGCTTGAAATTCAACAGTTGACTGAGGGACCTTACAGATGTTGTATGTATGGGGGACAGAGGAAGGATTAGTCATAAAAAAATAATGTCAACCCCTATTATTTCTATGATTTGTTAAGCCACATTTTTATCCTGAACTATACTGAACAAAAATATAAACACAACATACAACAATTTCTAAGATTTTACTGAGTTCATCAGTCAATTGAAATAAATTCATTAGGCCCTAATCTATGGATTTCACATGACTGGGCAGGGGTGCAGCCATGGGTAGGCCCGGCCTACCCACAGCAAAGCCAGCCCCAGCCAATCAGAATGAGTTTTTCCCCACAAAAGAGCTTTATTACAGACAGAAATGTTAAAGTGCACCTGTGTAATGATCATGCTGTTTATTCAGGTTCTTGATATACCACACTTGGATGGATTATCTTGGAAAGGAAAAATGCTCACTAACAGGGATGTAAACAAATTAGTGCACAATTAGTGTATATTTTTTTCAGTATAATTTAGGCTTGCCTAAACAATACTGAATACTTATGCAAAGACTATATTTGAGTTTATCTAAATCTTATTCATCTTTATTTTATAAATCTTATTCATCTTTATTCATCTTTATTTTGACAAATTAAAATTAAATCAAATTTAATCCCAAATTTGTAACACAATAAAATGTGAAGAAATCCAAGGGGTATGAATACTTTACAAGGCACTGTATACTTACAGTGTACTTGATCACTCACAAGTAGAGTTTCATTTAAAGAAATCAATACTTCAATTTAAAATCAACTCCAAGTTTAATTTGAATGAATATACTAAATTAAATATACTAAATCACAATTAAAGCGTTTGAAATTGAAGTACAGTTTTAACGAGTGTGATCAAGTTTAATGATAGTGAACATATAGTATTCTTAAAGACTGAAAAACAAATAATTTAAAGTACACTTCTAATAAGTGTATAGAAGGTTAATCATAGTATATTTATAAAACTCTAAAAGACTGAAAAAAAGTTCACCTTTAATACGTGTATTGAAGTGTGATGATATTGTATTTATAGTATACTTAAGATATACTAGAAAAATACATCTCGTATTTGAAGTATATTATTATAATTTTTTGTATATTTAAGTATACTTTAGTATACTTATAATATATTAAAATATATTAATTTTTTCCTCTTGGGGCAGGATGACTAATATCTGACAACACCTTTTTAATTCTATGTGTTATGCATTTTGCTAGGATTTTTGCATCACAATACTGACGTGTAAAGGGCCTCCAGTCTTTTAGATAGACTGGATCTTTATACTTACCACCTGGGTCCTATTTCAGTAATAGTGAAACCAAACATTCTTGCAGAGGACCTGATAGTTTTCCATTTCTATAGGTGGTTAAAAGGTTTTATATACTGTACCTCAACTGGTATGTTTTCCCTGGCTTAAAGGCTTTACTTGCATCAAGAAGTTCCTCCTCTGCAATTTGGCCTTTACACAAGTCTTTCTGTACAGCTGTTCATTAAAAAAACTTCATTCAAACATATGTTTAAAGTACTTTGCTTCCTCTTTCAAAAGATAATTTGGTGAATCATGGTGAATCATTTCGAACAAGTTTCTGTAAATTGTTTTTGGTAGCATTTCTATGTTGAAGATAAAAAAAGTATTTGGTGCCCGATGTTACCTTACAGCCTTATTCTAAAATGTATTAAATAAAACTGTTTCCTCATCAATAAAAAAAAAAGGGAAAAGTGAAGAGACTATAAATATGTGTATTTTATACAAAAAAACAACAACTAAACAGTACATGTTGGATATTATTACTAGGTTTGTTTTGTTAGTGAATTGACAGCTACTGTCCTATTTTATAAAAGGCAAGATGTTATGGGTGTAAGATGGCACATTGATGCCATCTCTTGGTAAATGTTAATTACTGCAACACCAGAGTTTTTACCGGTGTGCTTGATATACCCGGATGAATTACAATGTGCTGAACAAGACTGGTTACTCTCATCAATGACTCTGTCTCGTCATTTAACATCCAAACAGCTACTGGTGTTACACATCTGGCTAAAAGACTACTGTGGCTCTGTTGGCATAACTTTTATAGATCACTTTGACACCTTTTGGAAACAGAAGATGCTCTACAGGAATGACGGAGTCCATCCAAATCATCTTGGTGCCTGGACCGTGCATTTCAAGGCTGCATTGAGACAATGACTTAGCAATGACCCAAGCCCTGCTCAGATAATCCCTACCATTGTGTCACTGAGTCGTAGTGCTGCTGCAAATGTACATTGTCCGAGGGGTGTTGAAAGTCATAATGTAAGAAACCTAATTTATGTTCCTCTAACTCACCTGAATGCCTCTGTCAATCCAACAGCTATTGCCAGCAGTAATCATGCACCTATGAATCATATCTTGGAAAACCAAAGTTCCAAAGGCTGGGCCTAATATAATGTATAAGAGATCATACAAGAGGTTTTGTAGTGATTTCTATGTTGAAAATGTAAATCATATTTGCTAGTCTGTTGTGTGTAATGAGGAGCAACCAGACTTTGCACTTGACGTATTTATGAAATGGCTTATTACAGTTACTAATAAGCATGCACCCATTAAGAAAATGACTGTAAAAACTGTTAAATCCCAGTGGATTGATGAGGAATTAAAAATGTGTATGGTTGAGAGGGATGAGGCAAAAGGAATGGTAAATAATGCTGGCTGCACAGCCGATTGGAAAACTTACTGTAAATTGAGAAATAATGTGACTAAACTAAACTAAAAGAAGAAGAAACTGTACTATGAAACAAAATAAATGATATAAAGAATGCTAGTAAAAAGCTTTGGAGCACCTTAAATGAAATCTTGGGCAAAAGGGCAAACTCAGCTCCATCCTTCATTGAATCAGATGGCTCATTCATCACAAAAACCA